AAACGACCATCAGATAGTCTTGTCTCATATAAGAGGCAATCTGTTGGTGAATACCATAAAGTATTTTTGGTGTTATCGTAACAATATTTCGAATTGTGTATTTAAGTACCGGGCCCGACTTGTGATTAACGTACCGGATTATAGAGCTACTGACCAGAGAAAGGGCAACCAGACATCAGCACTCGATATCTACATGACAACTCTAAACCGAACAGCAGCAGCAGGATTGACTGTAACTTTTGTAATGCATTCACAGTTGAAAATGCGGAGCGTGTTCACTAGCATATCGGGGATTCGAACCTTAGACCTTTTGACCCAAATTAGGGAAAGCTATTTTTATTCGTTCGGTCATACTTGCTTTAACGATGTTGCTTCATGTGGTCATGGTCATGTTTATTTTCTGCATTGTTGCCTCGTACAGTTTAATCATAAAATGTTGCTTAATACAGCATCATGGTGATTTTAATAAAACTATTTTCTTTTTGATAACGATGTTTCATAATATAGTGTTCCTTCATGCGATCATTATTAAATGTATTACATTGTTGTCTCGTACATTTTTTTGGTTATATAGTATTTGGTCTCATGCTGTTAGCTCGTGTCTTGAGTTGTTATTTCGAAATAGTAAAATTTTTTTCTCATGCTATTATTTTCATGCGCGGTGGGTTCGTGTCCTGAGATACTGCAGTTTGAATCATATTTTTTATGACACTGTTTCCGTATCTTATCTTAGGCATTGCTGTTTGTGCAACCTCCACACGTAGTGTATTCTTATCCTGTGTTACTGTTGTTTATACAACCTCCATACGTAGTGTATTCTTATCCTGTGTTACTGTTGTTTATAGAACCTCCATGCGTAGTGTAGTCTTATCCTGTGTCACTGTTGTTTGTACAACCTCCATACGTAGTGTATTTTTATCCAGTGTTACTGTTGTTTATACAACCTCCATACCTAGTGTAGTCTTATCCTGTGTCACTGTTGTTTGTACAACCTCCATACGTAGTGTATTCTTATCCGGATAACTAGCTTGCTGATCGATGTTTTTCCATTGGTTGCACCTGAACCAACAGAAAAATGTCTAAAGATGACTGTTTGGACATTAATAATGGGCATCAAATGCTATATGGTTGCAGGGATCTATTTACCAAAAGAAGAAATATTGTTTTGGATAAAATACAAAATAATTATATTTTTCTTCATAAAACTCCTTTAAATATAAGAAATACAATATATTACTTTTGGATTATGGATTCTTATTCTATCAAACCCATACAATCACAAACAGCAATTCCTAAGAATAAGACTCAACACGCATGAAGATTGAACGAACAGCAATACCCGAGGATAAGAATACACTACGTATGGAGGTTGTACAAACAACAGTGACACAGGATAAGACTACACTAGGTATGGAGGTTGTACAAACAACAGTGACACAGGATAAGACTACTCTAGGTATGGAGGTTGTATAAACAACAGTAACACTAATCAGTTTTAATGACTCAATTACCAACTCGACATCGTTTGCTGCTGGCGCTACAGACGAAATTTCATTTATTTCACGAGCTCATAACTCTATACTTTTTATAGTGATAAATGACAAATCTCATTACCTAATAAAACCACCAACACCAAACCACGTGACATATATGATAATAAGACTTAGGCTATGATGCATTTAGGTGGGGCTACTTCTCGTACTTGCCATAATTGGTGTCGGTGCAGGAACTGATGAAGTATTTCGCTTGATTATCGCTTGACTTCCATCAAAAATACTTTTAAATGATCGTCCACTTTGTTCTTCTTTCCGTCGCTATAGCAAATTATAATTTATCAGTTTTTTGTTTGTTATCTCTTGTGCCGCTCATGCCGTTATTTAGAGTAATGACGTCATCTAAAATGTAATCAGTGCTCCTATGTCTTTGTGTCATACGATTAATCCATGCCCTGACTAAGGTACATCTAGTGATATCGTTGAAAAAAAAATGATAACAGAAAGGTTAACTTGGTGTCAGAAAATAAAAACAACAATTGATAACTTCATTTTATCAGTCTTCCAACAAGCAATAAGGATGGTTTATATCATACCATGAAGTCACGTTATCTTTAACTTTCGAGTCTGTGTGTTTGATATCAAAAAATCACAGCACATCTTTTATTTTTCTGACTGTTATTAAGTCAGGGTTCGTACAGGTCCATGAAATCCTGGAAAGTGCTGAAGAATGAGCTCTAAAAATTTCAGTACCAGTTGTACGTATTTTATGTCAGCCATTGTGAATCGTGTGCCTCGCAAAACCCGAGACTTCCAATTTCCGCTGGCGCACACGTTTAATGAAAGAAAATATTTGCCAGTAAATTGCAAGTTTAATCCTAAGATGCAGAATTCGAGTGTTCTGGGGTTCTAAAATGAGTCCTGCGATTTTTCTTTTAAAGTCTGTATGAAACCTTGGAGCAATCACTGGACCTTGTTGTTAGTGATCTGTTCGTCTGATGGAAAACCGCGATATTTTTGAGGTTTGAGGTCTTGAAAAAAAAAACATAAAACTAGACAGTGCTGTTATTCGAAACGAACCTGTAATGCATCTTGAACACTCGGCTTTAATAAATGTTAGTTTGATGGACATGACGGTTTTACATATCCTAAAATTGCAGTCATGTATTGTGTTCGAAGCACGAACAACTGAGGTGGGTGGTCTAATGAAGGCAGTGGCCTCCTAAAAACAATAAGAAATTGGGTAAAGGTACATTTCGCGGCGGGACCACTAGTAATGACGTAACACGCTTCGTAAGAAAGTAGTACTATAACATCAACCAGAAGTCGCATACAAAAACAAGGGACTCTACTCGAGATCACGCGTGATGACATAACAGGTTCGGTAAAGATGCAGTGTTACAACATCAACCAGAAGTTGTGTACAAAAACAAGGGATCACGTGTGATGAGTAACAGGTTCTGTAAAGATGCAGTGCTATAACATCAACCAGAAGTTGGGTAAAAAACAAGGGACTCTACTCGAGATCACGCGTGATGACATAACAGGTTCGGTAAAGATGCAGTGCTAAAACATCAACCAGAAGTTATGTACAAAAACAAGGGATCACGGGTGATAAGTAACAAGTTCTGTAAAGATGCAGTGCTACAACATCAACCAGAAGTCTTGTACAAAAATAAGGAACAACACTTGGAATCACGGATGATGACGTAACATTTTCTATAAAGATATAGTGCTACAACATCAACCAGAAGTCTTGTACTAAAATAAGGAACTACACTTGGAATCACGGATGATGACGTAACATTTTCTATAAACATATAGTGCTACAACATCAACCAGAAGTCTTGTACTAAAATAATGAATTCTACTCTGAACCACTGGTGATGATGACATAACATATTCTGTGCTACAACATCAATTAGAAGTCGCATAATTCCACTGATTAATCTCAATGTTTACTTCATAAGATATCCACAAGTGTTTGAAGTAATGCTTGTTAACTTTTATAGTCTTTGGTTCGATCTTGTAACGTGAGATTCAATACTCAGTCCAGAAAAGTAATGTACTTGTGGCGAATGCTCTCGTGGTGTGACGAAAACGTGAAGGAAAGTAGTGTTTGTATTAGTTTTGTGTTTAATTTAAAGCTTGCTATAACAATAGCTCCAAAAAGGTCATTTGCATTGTGTATTTCTATTAACATAACGTATGTGCTATTCATCAGCCCTACTACATTTGATGAAAACTAAAACAAGCTTGACGAAGCGCGTGTCTCTGTCACGTCACAACTCGATTCTTGAGTTTTAGCTTTTTGATCGATCGCTTGACACACCCACATAAGCTTTAGCTCAACACTGACTCCGAACAATATAAATATACTTTAGAAATTGATTAGCTTTCAGTCCTGTCTTTAGAGCAAAACCATTAACAGAGTAAAGGTACCCTGACACGTGCTGAACCACTTACGTCGCAAAGCACGTGACATGTTCTTGTTATTGTCAACGTTAAAAGAGGAAATCTACCTCAGATGTCCATTTCATATAACGTCTAGCGTGTTTTAAGATTTAATGACAGGTAAAGATGAGGTACTGAAAGATCTATTCCGTAAACTATGAATATTTAACTCCACGCATGATAGGGAACAACATTTACATAAACATTTCCTTTTATTACGAAAAATTCCAACTGTTAATAAAGGTTTCGTAAACAAAAGGTCTTTTACTCACGTGTCACTAGGAGAAACACATGCGGATGAGGTCCTAACTTTTAGCTTCATTTATTGATTTTGTTCATATTCACCATTGATTTCACATCGTTTACTAAGTAACATCAACCTCATAAATAGTTGAAGGATTCTTTCAGTACGTATATATTACCAGTTCTTCATCCTATTGCTATTAATGGAGTTCACTATTCATTCGATACCCAAGTTTATTTAAAATAGCAATTTCTTATATGTTCTTAAAAAGTTTTTTGTAACTTATGTTCGCGTGATATCTCACATGTTTTCTGTGTTACACACGTTTTTTTGTAACTCAGAACAGATTACACAACCAGCATGGTGCAATTATTCTAATCTACATTCTCTCTAGTTTTTCTTATTAACGAGTCTTATCTAATGGTAAAAGTCGTGGAATTAGCGCATTCAGTCCGTTATATCCAAGGTACGTCTTACTTTCAGAATTGTGTAGAAAATGTTAATCGCACATGTAAGATTGCTAGATCTATCTATAGAGTTATTTTCAAGTTCATAGGTGTATTTCAAGGTCACTAATCACAGTTTATATGCTTTGATAGAGACTTTGTTTTTCATGATAACTTATCCGTTGTAACTATTGGTCCTTCTGAATTATAATAACTTATCCATTGTAACGATTGGTCCTTCTGAGTTAAAGATAACATGGTGATGATGAAACAATATCTTTCTTATTTTACAGTAAATTTTGTACATATGTTACAAAGAGCGCTTCACCTCGGTAATGTATCACGTGTATTGTTTCTTCCTAGTGGGTGGAGGAAAGTTTCACCAACTTTGAGCAAGGCATCAACTGGAGATCATTCGTGGTGTGTGATGTGGCGTACAGTAACGTCAATAACTGGTTGTGGACACCGTTCGTGGAGCGAAGGGATGCCAGCAGAATTTACATTGAGATTAAGTTTAGTATGCGAGATTGTAACCTGTTTCCCGGAATGGCACTGTCTTGTAAGGAAACTTTTTCTCTCCTCTATTACGAATTTGACGCAGCAACCAAGGAGCCTCCTCCTTGGGAACCCGAGTCGTACAAACTTGTGGACCGCATTGCAGCGGACGAAGGCCGGTTCACTTCAACGAGTGAGGTCATCATAAACACCGAAGTCCGTAGTATTCCAGTTACTAAAAAAGGAGTGTACTTCGCATTTCGCGACCAGGGTGCCTGCTTGTCAATAATTGCAATTAAAGTGTATTATATGACTTGCCCAAACATCACGCTTAATCTCGCTTTCTTCCCCGACAGCCCTACAGGTCGAGAGGTTACAGAGATCGTAGAGGTTGAAGGACAGTGTGTTATCAATTCTGAGGTTGTTGATCCGCCCAAGTTGCTCTGTAAGGGAGATGGAAACTGGACCCTACCCTCTGGTGGCTGTAAATGCAAGGCTGGTTATGAGTTTAGAGACCAAAGTTGTCAAGGTAAGTAATACTTTAATTTTTTATTTTATTGATAACTTTAACTGTCGTAATTGTGTCATCAACATAAACTCGAGGGTCGTACAAATTAGCAGTATGACTAATAGGTAAGGGCTGATTATTGTGATATGGGTTTAGAAATGATTAAACTCAATGATAATAAGAATCTTCTCGTTCTCTTACTTAATACGAATAAACACATGAACTAAACCAGAATAACTTGTTGTAAGGACTTTTTAAACATAAACTGCGAAAAAATATTATTGAAGAACATTAGTTAAGAATCTTTGTTTTTTTTGTTGTTTTTTTATTGAACGACATTTTATGCGACACATGAGCTAAATAGCCTGGTCAGAGAATCCAAGGTTCAGGTATAATCGTTCATAATTTAAGAATTGTTGACCAGAGGGAAATCAACCAGCCAGCAACACCCGGATTATATGAGATTGTTATTAACTGAATAGCGAGATTGACCGTCACTGTTATAACAGATCCAAACACAGATGAAAATGTGAAGCGTGTTCAACCGTATATCGTGTCTCGAACCCTGGAATTTTCTATCCATAACTCGAAATCAATAGATGAAAACAACTAGAAGCATAATAGAAAGTTGAAAATGATTAAACTTGTAAAACAGCCTAACTAGACGGAGACTTTTATACTGCTGACATGAGAAATTAGGTTCTAAACCTCTTTCTTCTTTTTTTTAACTATACCTGAAAAAAAAAGAGAGTTAAAAATGCTTCTATTTGTTGTTGGTGTTGTACTGTATGTTACAAAGACCTCTTCAGAAATAAAAGTCTTCTTTTAGAGGACGGTCACGTTCAGTTGAGTTGCACAGAAGATGCGTTTTGACGACTTGGAGGCTGAATCCTCAGAATGAATAGTGATCTCTTGATAGCGGAAATACAAAGTTTATTTCGATCATTGTCAGTAACCGCTGAGTCGGAAGTAGGCCTAATGGGGATCTCAATGTTGCTATACGAAAACATGACAGTGGAAGCTATCTGGATCCCACTATTTGTATACACACTACTTTAGAAAGGGTCTGCATTACTATGGAAGAAAACTGTGTAGTGAAAAACTGCTGCTAGCTATACGTGCGTTAATAAAGAAAAATACGTACGGGTGGGTGTGTAAAATAGCAACGAATACTACTTATGTTTCGTAATGTTAAGTACAACGGAGTTTAAGCCCATCTTTTCCTCTTCATCAATCAGAGATTATTAAATACTTTCTTCTGTTTCCTGTAAACAACTCCCATCACATTAATGGCCAATGTGCATTTCAAACGTCGAGAGAATAATAGAAAAATAAAGTGTAACTAGTAAACTACAGTAATGCCAAAACAGTTTGAATTTTATAAAATTTTAAAGTAATATTAATATAAAATAAGAACACGCCAGGTACATAATAATTAGATCAGAGAAAAGTTTTACTTCCTAAAGTCAAACAAGTGAGTTGTGATACTATTTCTTCAGCTAGAATACGATATTGAGAGCTTCATCACAGAAACTTCAGGTGATTGTTAAAACGTGAAAAACTAAGTTTTTCATTTTTTTAATTACACGAAAACTTCTTTGTCAGTTCGAGAAACAGGACTTTATGTATTGAGAATTAGGTTCAGTTAGTCTCCAAATGCAACAATTCTTAGGCTAGTGTTTTACAAACAGTCGTGGCAGATGAATTTGGTTTTTGGCTTGTTTAAAAATGCTCATTCCAAGCAGTTTGCGCATAGCCAGCCGTCTTACCGACAACTCTTGAACTACACTGGTCTTACCGAATACTGGAATTTGACCGCAACTTTTGTAACGCACCAACGGCCCCAAAGTGCTGAGCACGTATTTTGTGTGGCCACGGACTGCGAACCATGAACCCTCTTATTGCTAACGACTAGGCATGCTAACGACTAGGCCATACTCGGCCCCACGACAGATGAAAGAACTAGGTTACACGTTCGAATTTGAATTGTTTTACGGTTAAGTATAATAGTTTTAGTTTGTTTATTAGATCTAAAAATAAAAGGACTCAGAGCTACTTTAGGGAATCTGTATCATATATATTTTCTTCCTTTGTTTGTTAGAATCCCATTTCTAAAACCCTCACTGTATCATTTCCTAAATCTTGTAAGTGGCACGCCTTGCCGTTTACTGTTAGTTCCTTTACTTCGTACATCATCTTTATTTTATTTTTAATATTGTGAAAATAATTGATTAAAATATTTCACTTCATCATATCCAAAATTATCTTTCTTGATGCTCACTTTGATTCTTGTTATTTGTTTATTTTCTTTTTGTTTAGTTGATGAAGGATTATTTTTTCTTTGAGTGAAATATTTATTTCAGTTATCAGAATCAAACTCATTTGAAACGTATTCGCGAAATTCCAAAAAATAAAAAATCAATAAATAATAGCACCTGGACCCTTTGGCTAGGGTTCTCTCTTTAATTAAGGCAGCTCGGACATACTATGCTACAGTTAATAAATAAATGTTTTAGGTATACTGTAAAGGCGTTTAGACAGCTTTTCCTAAGTGACACACGGTTTGATTTATCTTTCATATCATAAAGATGTTAGGTGCGAGTTTCTGTGCTTCTTCCACCTGTGACTATTGATTTTACTGAAAAAAAACACAACAAAGATAATAACAAATAAACTGATTTGTTAAATACAAATATCTGAGTTCACACAGCTGGACAGCCCAGTATTTCCGAACAATAAATCATGAACAAAGCCACCAGAATGCGCCTTATTTGTATAATTTGAAGTCTACTGTATTCAACGCATCTTCAAATAACATGGAAAGTAGCCACGTTTTCAACGTATTTTTGTTTTTCTTGACATTCTAGTTTTATTTGTCTTTGTTTTTGTTTTTTTTTTGGCATCCATCTGAATTCTATCGCTACCTTATGATGAGATTCATCACCAGACCCAAATCAATGTTGTTGTTTGAGGTTATCTTTGATTTTTGATTTTTCTTAGGCAATTTTACAAGAGAGTGGAATAATTCCTGGAGGTTATTCGCGTAATAAAGTAAGGATAATAGGGATTCTATGTATTTGATTGTTTTAATAAAAATACTGCAAGTTGTACTTTACTGTAGTACGGAAATGTTTCAAAAATAGTAGAGGGAAGTTTTTTTAGGTAAAGCAAACTTATCATTGAAAATACTCTATTGTATTTCGTGTTCTGTAAAAAAACATTAATTGAAAATTATCATAGATAGATCTGGGAGTTTGTTTTAAAGACGTTGTGAATGAAATCGCTTATTAAAAATGTTTTTTGTAAACAGAAGTATAACAATATTCTGTTTGTGATAAATAATTTGTTAGAAGTAATTTATCGAGAAATGGCTTAGTTTTATCTTGAAAAGATACTGTATTTGTTTTAAAGTATAGCACACAATAAATTGTGTTGAACAAATGCACAATTAAAAAGCGTTTTTTTTGCGAGAAACAATTGAAATTTAGTAGTAATAATTTGTCCAAAATTGGGGGTGTACTTTTTGTAATAGTCCATTTTGGGTTGAAATATCATGGAAAAATAATGTAGATCTAAAATAAGGATTTATCTTCTGAGGTAAACATTCTGAGGAAGTTGTTAACTGTTTTAAAAAACTGTGATCTATACCAAAGTTTGAATACCTGAAACTGTGCTGAGGCTTAAACCAGAGTTGAAAGATCTGAAACTGTGCTAGAATTAAAAGATTGTT